GATCTGCGCGAATACGCGCCGTAGACGCGTTGCAGCCGCGCATATGTATTGCGATTTTGATAAAAGTTTGTTTTAATTTTCGTTTTGTTTATTAATATCAGTTAGGTTTTACATTCACTATTCTAAAGTGCTTGTGAGTCAGGCTTACTTGAATAAAACTTTATGATTATTATTATTATTTAAAAAATGAAGCAACTACATGAAATTCTAAGTGTAAACTCCAGTGGAGTATTGTAAGTTTTTTGCTTACAATACGATATTACATTATTCGATATTTTGCGTAAAACGCAATACAGACGCGCTACGAACGCGGTCCTCGCGCGCATCTGTATCGCGTTTGAACCGATACAAATGCAACAATTTGCTTTTTGAGCCACGTATAAAATACGCCGTTTGTATAGGCTCCTATGTGTAAGAAAAGGATCGACAAAATTAAATTTAATTTTAGGGTTAATATCTATAACCTTAGTCAGCATATTTGCATCATGACCTAATTGTCCAAGAAGCTGTAAATTTTTGACTAAACCTAAACTGCCTGTCAGGTATAAAAAATACTTCCTGTCATTGACTTACAATTATATGGACGTCGGATCCGCGCTAAAAAGTGTCGGAACTTATAGGGCGTTAAAATCGTATACAGAGCGTCATTCACGCTCTAGTCTTCGTTTGTTCGACTGACAGCGAAGCAAGCAAAATTAGACAGTACTGCGATGACATTACAATTTAAATTCAACGTTGTAGCTTTTCCATATTCCTTGACATGTCACTACGTTTAAATGGGTTGACTTGGGACATTTTTTTCGTGGTTTTTGTATTAGACCCGTCGTCCATTTATTTGTAAGTCAATGCTTCCTGTCTTTAAATTAAGTTTGCTTGTTCTTGAATCGTCAAGAAGCAATTTAAATATTATGTGTATACACAGGTATATATTAGGCACAGTCACACATAACAGTAATTAGAACGCTGCGTGAATGAGGCGTAGGTTTATTTTTAAATGTTGAATTGTGACAGCTACCACTGGCTGTAGTTATTAACCAAGGTTGCTGAGGTCGAAGTCTCGACATTTGATAACAAACTAAAGGCAAGTAAACGAAATCTACGACGTACAAAAGGGCCTTGTAAATTCTTAAAATGTCACAATCTCTACAAATTAATGCAATGCGTCTGTAGTACCTTTACATTTTTTGTTTATTTACGAAATGTTTTAAGGAAGTACTGTTGGGTAGTTTCCGAGAAATTTCAAGAGGAGGAAATTTGTAAAAAATTGGAAAAATATAATTTCTAAGGCTCATATGACGTTCTGCGTTTAGAAATATCTTTTAGGGTTTTATTTAGTGTGAATTATGAAATAACCTTATATAGCTAAAAGCGACGTAGACGAAAAACGAGATTTACATGATTTCACAAATCACACGAAAAAACCTCCAACAACCACACCATCACCTCTTGTTGATTCCATCGTTTACGCTCAATAACTTTACAATAACAATTTAACTTTTGACAGGTGTTAACGTCAAATGTGGAAAAATAAAAGAAAAATATTGGAGATCCGGCAAAATATGATTTTTTCAAAGTGGAAATTTTTCCATGACCCAACACTATAAGGGAGTAAAAGCTTTACGCACTTGATAATAAGAGAAGCTAGATTAATTTAATGAAATTGGAAAGCTGTACTGAACTTCCATTTTTTCATGAGACCAAGTGACGGTACGAACAAGTCTCGCACCTGATGGTAAGTGCCATGCATGTCCATAACAGTTGCAGTATCACTTAGTGGTTTAAGAGCTCTCATGCCAAAAAGTTTTGACGTTGGCTCCGCCCAAATTTGTGAAACAAATATATGGCTGAAGTTTGCGTGACATGCAACAGGAGATGTTGAATTTTGCGCATTAAAAGTACCAAATTCGTTTTAGCGGAATAACTCTAAAACTAAAGGGATTAAAAAAATCCGTAGTGACAGTTGTCGATCATGCATAAATATAATTCATTATCTAATTTTTGTCCTAATAACCTGTAGCATTTTGAGGATAAATCGAAAAAATGTGAAAATTAGAGGTCATTTCGTAATTTTTATCTATCGAGGAAACTTTATTGTTTTATGTTTCTGATTAATGTCTATGCTTGAATATATCGTGTAGTTATATAAAATATTTTATTTTTAACTTTAAAGTGGATGTACCCCTCTAAAATCAAATCGAAGATTAGGAATTTTTCCTCTGCTCCCTCTTAAACCATAAAGATCTAAGGCTCACTGCGCCCGTCAACCTGAGATGTAAGTTATCAAGTCTCATGTGTGTACTAGCAGCAATTTTGCTGCAAAAAATAACATTGAGAGACAACAACAAATTAGTGGAGTATTTTTAAACTTGTATTGTAGTGTTACATGAATCCTTTACCACTGGTACGTAAGCAATTATTAAAGTAGCTGGTATGGAGTCGTTGGACTGAGTTATGCAGTACCATCGTAATAGGTTACTTAAGTGCTCGTCATGCTCATGCTCGTAAACTGTGACCGATACAAGTGCAAAATACTAGGCACGATACGTGTTACTACAGACTTTACTATCGTAAAGATTTTTGAAATATTTTTATAAAGTTATAACAGCACGCCCATATTTATAAATACATCTCAAATGCTTGATCGTAATTAAAGTTTTACGTATTGAACTACTTATGTGTACTCGATACAGAAACTGCATTGAAATGGGTAACGGCCAACCCATTACCATCCATTGAGTTTACGCATCAACGTTGCAAAGATCATATACTTGTTGATCTCAAAGAAGCAAAGAGATAACTTAAAGCTATTTGTTGGGACAGAGGAAGTGAAAGAGGTCAATAAGTTAATGTATTTAGGAAGAATGAAGGTGGAGTGTAAACTTCAAGTGATACACATAGAGTGGATAAAACCTCTCTCTGACATCCTGGAAGGATTATTTATAAAAGGTCTAACGAAATGTAGCGTTAGTAACATACATTTTTAAATTACTAAGGGGGAAAATGAAAACGCAGATTGACTGAGGCACTTAAATTTTTTGTGCCAAACAGGTATGTGGTCGCGCGCTCCGCGAGATGAGATGAGATGTGAAGTATATCTTCGACCCGACACTACTCGGTACATCCAGACCTGAACCAATTTAGAACAGTTCTTTACGCAAGTTGGTTCTACCGGGAATCGAACGCGGTACTTTTTCATCCAACCTTAGTGCAAATACAAGGCCATCGAGGTCGTCATATTATGTCATTTTAAATACACTACCGTAGTAAAGTAATTGTTTTTTATTATTTTCTCTTTTATACATGTAAATAGCTTATAAATATATTATTATAAATATTATAATATGTAAGTATGATGCTATGATTTAAAGTAATATTGAAGAAAAAAAAATTGCGTTGATAGCCTTTGCAAACTTTTTGGCTTACTGCCCATTTAGGCAAAATAAAAAAATTTCAATGCCCACCACTACAAAAAATAACTATATATATATATATATATATATTTGTAGTGGTATATATTCCCTTGAAAAGACATGTATCCAGTATGAAGCTTCATTCGCATCACTTCTTTTCATTTGGTCAAGTATTGCTTATTTGGCAGTAATTGTTTCGGAGAAATGTCAGACGGAGATCGAGAGTAGGCACGCAGTTCCGAATCCGAGAAACGATGGTCCGAAATGTCACAGGGATCATTTTATCTCTGGGTGTACAAGCGTTTTTTCCCGTATTCGAATCGGACTTAGTGCACAAACGACACCCGGAGTGGGCCCGAGTTTTCTAGATTAAGGTATAGAATACGAATCGGAGGCAGTGCGCGAACGCTAACTCAGGTTTTTTTACCGACTTCAAAAAAAACGAGGAGTTCAAGTGCCCAATTCGACTGTATGTATTTTTTTTGTACATACAAACATGTAGCGGTCACACGTTACGCGATAACTCCGTGCATTTGTGAATCGATTTTGATGACACTTTTTTGTTGGAAAGAGGGTACCTCGGATGTGGTCCCATTTAAATTTGAAGAAAATTTTCCATCTCCAAGGCAAACTAGGGGATGAATGACTTTTGAGGTCGGGTTTTTTAGCTCTTTTTCGTTTTTTTAACTCTGTACTGTTTTTCCAAATGCGGTAGCACCGCTGCAAATCTATATGATATAATTTATGCTAATCATAGATGCTTAAATATAGATGCTTTCAGTGTTATTTTTAGAGAGGTGTTTTGATTTAAAAAATGTAAGTAGGTACATTAATTAGTTACTCTGCGACTGCGAAGTCACTTAAGGTTTAATATGCAAAACAACTACACATATGTTGATTTAAAGTAGTTAAAGTGACTGTAGATTCACAAACATCACCACCAGACATATACTTGACCCTCGACCGGGTTCGCGGAGTTGCAAAAAAATCTCTTAAAGATTATATTATTATTATACGTGCGTTTATATGAACATTTTAGGGTATTTTTCATATTTTAGTCTAACCGACAGATGATAACGCAAGGGCGCGTTCCCATTATGTTACGTTTTATTTTATCATTAACGACTGTCGTGTCTAGCTGTTTCCGCTAAATCGATCGTGACGACAATTTATCGGTTCACGGCAGCCATCTTGTCGTTTGCACGACATAATCGTTTGAAGACACTTTAAACTGCACGACTATCAGTCATCACGACATAATGAGAACGCGCTCTAAGAGACCCCACTTGTTATCGTAACCGACATAGTACATCACTATTTCGTCGTTTACAATAAACAAAATGGTAAAAAACGTGTTGCACCTTGTTGGATATTTTTAATCTCAAGTATTGCCTTAAATGCCTGAAAGCCTCAAAACTCTTTATAATAGAGATGGTAAAAATATCGCAAGAGCCAAAAAAGGCTTAATATCCATTGTTTAAAGAAAATGTAGCTGTTACACAATCGGTTAAATTTGTTTTTTGTCGCTTACACTAAGTAAACACCTTTTAAAATATGCAAGTTTTTTGTAACAGAAATATTTTGTTTCAGTGCCAAGAGCCTAACCACAGTGCGTGAATAATGAAGTCACGGAAGTGACAAGGATGTCAGTCGAAATGGAAGTGTCGCCGGGGCAGGCGAACGCACCACGTGCGCTTGGCCGAGCGCACTTGTCTCATTTGCCTCATCGACCACCGATTAACTTATCGTTTCAAGATCTCACATACACGGTGCAGAATGGAAAGAGTAAGTTAACATTATTATAATTGTAATATTAATTTAATTGAATATCACGATGTTTTACTACCACGATATTCAATTGTTTTTTGTGAAATTATTCCACTAGTTCGTTATAATTTTTAATACAAAGATCGAACACTAAAATAAATTCCTTCGAACAAAAAATAATTGAATATCATGGTAATAAAATATCGTGATATTCAATTAACTTAACATTACAATTATTAAAGCCACATCTCCAGTCAGGCGCTAATAGCTTTAAAGGTATTAGCGCCTGACTGGAGAAAAACTGAGTGAAGAAAAACTTTCATAGATTTCTCATAGGTGGCGCTACGGCAAAAAGCCGTTAAAAACCAAAAAAAGTTCTGCAACAAACACATAGAAAAATTCGTAAGATCTTATGGTTTGTTTCGTAGCTCAGTTGGGAGAGCGTCAGGCATGGTGTGAAAAGTTTTCTTAGTGTTTGATCTTTGTATTAATAATTATTGTAATATTTTAAATATATTATTTATTTATTTATGTACACGTTACAAAGACCCATAAATATATAGCTTATAGACTAAAATACATAATAATATAATAAAACATGACTAATTCTTATTTACACGTATTGTCTGCGATGTGTGACGCAACGTGGGTGTCCGGTGGCCGGGCTCGGAAAATATGTATATAATTCAAATTCAAATTATTTATTGCATTCATGTTGTTACATAGGTTTTAAGTTAGATAGTACAGATTAAACATGAACCCTGTAAGGGCCTGGCAATGTCAATCCTAAATTCTAAATAAATCTAAATTTGTATTACAATTTTTACATTATTTCTTAATTTGATATTCGATAAAATAAACAATTAAACAAAATATAAATTATTACTAATCGTCAACGGTAGTAAGTTAATTTTAGTTTCATTTTTAAAGTAGTTTATAACCATATAATTAATATGGTGATATCAAAGTTCTTTCAGAGAGGTCGGATCTACCAACACATTTTTTCTAAAATGTGTACTCTTGTAGGTTAACTAGTTAGTTGTTAACATCTGGAGAAATATTTTAATTTATAGTGGTTTTGTCTGGTGTTGGTGGTGACGTGGTTTGCATTCTTCTTCATATCGTATCGATGGCATACACTATAATGGTTATCATCGTGGTGAAAGGCCTTTGTCAATCGGCGTAAGGTACTCGCCAATTGTTGCCCAAGGCGCGCCAGACGTACAGAAAAGGTATACGTCGTTCGAGGAGGCTCCTTTCGTGCACCCAGTGATATTAGACATAATAATTGGTTGATTTGACTTTACCGTCTCAGTCAACCGTGACCATGGCCAGTAAAAGGCTCGAAACATTGGTGGGTTTGAAAAAACAAGTACACGCGATTCAGAGCCGAAAAAATAGTTTCAATTTATTAATCCTAATTTAATAAACACTTGGATTACTGTCAAAAAAAGAAAGAATAGTACATTGTGTATTTAGGGCTGTAAATAAAGAATTACGAACGAGTCTCTGTCTATATACGCTTTCGGAGTCGAAGTTCGTAATTCCCGTAACGCCCGTGAAATATACAATATCATCACACTTGCACCTAAATTTTGACACGAGAATTTGACTATAATTCACCAAATAAAACCTTCGGGCCTTTTTTCTTCTCATTACCGGATATGGCTGGAATGAGAAGAAAAAAGGCCCGAGGGTTTTATTTGGGGCATTGTAGTCAAGTAAGCCTGCAATATATATAAATAAAAGTGTGTGAATACCTCGTATGTGATTTCTATGTAATTTTTCAGGATGAAGATAAAAATGTTTAAATTATAAATTTATATAAAAAACCGATTTAGAAAGATTTGTGGAATAACATCACTACTGAGGTACCTCCTTTTAAACAAAATCGTTGAAATCGAATTGAGAACGGTCTCCTTTTTTTGGAGTCGATTAAAATATAGTTCCCTCAACATGCTCGGAAATGTTTGCGTTACTTTAAAAAAATGAACACGGGAAGTTTGTCATTTATAGACCGTGCGACTTCTTCTCCGGGCAAGGCCAGCAAAATAAGTTTGAAAATCCATTACTGTCCGCTGCTCAAAACTTTTAAATCTATCTACTAACAATGAACTATGTAAACAGGCAAAAGATTAGCTCATCAGCCAACAGCCAAGTGTTCGTAATTGCGAGAATAGAAAATACCTATCTGTATTGCTTACTTTAAAAAAAGGCGGTAAAATAAAGTGCTTTGCCTTCTAGTGAGAAAAGCGATAACAAAAATATAGTAACGAATACAGTGATCTGCATCATCAGAAGTTCAGCAGACTGCAGTAAAAATATTTTCTTTTAACAATTATTATTGTCCCAACATGTCAAATATCACTTTTAATATTAATTAATTTTGTTACACTTTTTCTATTATACATCTTCTCTTTGGTCTTTTATTATTTCCTCACATTGTTAGAGAATAGCACTATATAAGTCTCGGCTGTAACGGGGATTACTTGACTAGGTCACGCTGCCACTCGGCCTTCTAACTCATACAGTCCAGTACTTCTCGACCTCTGGAATAATGTACTAAAACACAATAATGTTTGTAGTTATTGTAGTTATGGTATTTTTATTACTTACATCTTCTTCAGATGCTAGTATTATGTTGTCTTTCAAATGCTATACATACATATCGTCGGTTAAATTCGTATACCTGTGAAAACAAAATTTCTAGAAAAAATTATATAATAACCTATGATTGTACCTTTTTTTGTAGCTAGAAGATAAATCTACAAATTATATTTTAAGCTTTATTTGCCTGAAATTGCGCTTGAAGAGTAAAAAAGGGATTTCATCTAAAAATGGAGTTTCGTGGTTTTTAAATTTAACCCACGATATTTAAGCAGGAGTTTTATAAATTTAGCTTAAAATAAAAATCAGTAAACTGTGTAAAAATGCGCATGCGTGGTTTTCACTCTAAGGCGATTAGGTATTTTCAATCACTTGTCGCAACTGCGCGCAGGCACTCGAGACTCAAGAGACGGTTGCTTAATTCCTGTGCGGTATAAACTCGTAAAACGAATTGCTTCTTAGTCTACAAATTGACCAATCTTTGGAAAGCTATGCACGTGCACGTGATGCCACTGTGCGAAATGGCCTTTAGGGGAGCCACAACTTATTACTTATTAGGCATATTAAGTTCCTGTATATGATTTTTCCGATTTTGAATTCAAATTCGGTGGGATCGAATCCGAGCACGCATCTCTGAGGTCTTCGGAGTATATGGGCGAAATTTATTAGAATTAGGGTTTCAACATCGTGATAAAACCTGCTCGTCGAAGACGGTTTACAACTCTCGGAAAACGTGAAGTCCCCAACCTGCATTGCGCCAGCCTGGCGGACTATGGCCTTAAAGGAGTGAGATCCTTTCCCAGCAGTGGGTCGTATAAATGGGTAATCAGAAATCAGAAACATTTATTGTGTGAATTGGTAAAATACAGGTGTTACTTACAAGTGATTATATCTACAATTCTTACTCAAATCAGGCGTACAATGTCTTAAAATTACAATTCAATTAAAATTTATTACAACTTAAATGGGTAGATGATGACGATGAATTAAAATTGCACAAGCCACTACCTAGATTATCCTCTACTTACAACCCCATTAACGCTCGAAAATATATAGACATTTTTCATTCTTCCCGTAATGCTTTCAAAGATAACATTCACAAATCGCTTCCCCAGTAATTTCATAAGTTCTTTCTTGTTCTTTTTGTTGCTTATTATTATTTTATTACATTAAATGCTGTGTACGTTTGTATTAGGTAGACATACAATACTAATGTAAAATACTACTGTTGTTGATGTACCTTATCTATAAAATATATAAATAAATAAGTACAGCGCCCCTAGCGGTCACAGCGAGAAGTGAAATTTGCCATATCAATATTTTAGTCAAAGTAGATGCCTACATTATTCAAATGCAAAGTCAAGTTACATTATGTTACTCAATATGACCTCTAAAATTTTCCTGCATTTGTAATTTGATTGTAATATATGATGATGTTTTACTACTTTGATATTTATTTATTTTCGTGAAATTACTCTATTAGATTATTATAATTATTAATACAAATATCGAACACAAAACTCGTCTGTTTTACCAATAAAGAGCGAGATCGAGTTAGCAGACCTTATGAATTTCCTACGCGTCTAGCTATTACAGACTTTTGTTTTTGGTTTTAACGGCTGTCAGAAATTTATGAAGGTTTTTCTTCACTTAACCAGGTACCGGGGGTTGACAATAGATGTCGCTTTATAAATTGTAATCTTGCTTGAAATTAATATTATACACTCCTGGACACATAATTCGAGTCACGCATTTTCAGTATTAAGTGCCCTAAGCTTAAACAATGTTTAATTAATCAAAAACTATTATGCAATTTTAAAACCAGTATACTAAACGTCTTTTCCATAAGTCCTTGTTGGGAATTTCGATTTGCAAAACTGGGGGAAAACTGTTTTCTTCGATGTTAACACTATTTTTGCATTCTAGCCCTTTACGACAAAAATGCGAGTTTATATATATACTAGTTATGTGTCCGGGAGGGATTATATGATATCATTTATTTGTAGTTTGTTATAATTATTAATACAAAGAAAGTAAAACAGACATAGGTTTCAGTCCTGTCAGATCGAAGGGGTTTTTATTGTAGAGATTGTGTTATGATAATTAAACTTATTGAGCAAAGCCTTTTAACAAAATGGGCAACTAAAACTAGACAAGGTGCAATGAGACACGGGTATAGTTTAAAAAACAGTAATTATTAAATAAATTAATGTGAATAATGTATTGCTATTAGTGAAAGGTTACGATTTAGTCCAAAAAGTCTAGAGAATGACGCTGACGTTCCGTCGCCGATATTCCGTAGTCCGATAAATTATTATTATATCAGTTTCGTCCGAATTAGATTACAATCTTTAAAATAGTAAGTACAAAATGCACTTTCTTTAAAGATCCATTTAAATATTTGCAGGACT